TGGGAGGTGATGCTGCTGCACCTGAAACTCAAGATTACAGAGAGTTTACTGGACTTACAACCTCAAAATATATTTAACATTTCAAAAGACTTTATCCCAAAACTAAAATATTAAATAATTCAGAACAATGTATGTGTTGTAGTTTGAGTGAAGTAATCAACCATTGTAATATTATTTAACTCTCCAACAGATAAAAGAGGAGGAAGTCAAAACTGAATTCAAAGAAGAAGTTATGTTAGATACAGATGTAAAGACTGAAGGTGGACACATCTCAAGCTTAGACCCTGTGACTGGAGAACTGCTGGAGAACACCACTACCTCAGCCTCATCTAACACTGTGAAATCTTCCTCAAACATAAGTACTGATATAAAGGAAGAGGTTGATGTGAAGGAAGAGGGAGAAGTGAAAGAAGAAAATACTGAAACTGAGGACAAGAATAAAGAATGTGGTATAAAGACCAGAACCAAGACTGGGACGTTGATACCAAAGCAGTTTGCCGTGGACGACCTGAGACGGCGACTCCCCGTGGAGAGTGACGATAAGGGAGACGTTAAGAAGACGGCCGAAGATGTTGCTGCCCACAAGCTGACTCAGAGCAAGTTGGCTCAGCTGCAAAGTAATGGTTAGTTTGGCTTTAACAGTCAGAATTATATATCTTTTGCTTGCTTTATCTTATTAAATTCTTGACCACATGCACAGTGACAAGTAGACTCATTTTGTAGGTAGCCTTGTGTAGTACACCATCAGTAGGAAAGACAAAGATACATTAATTACTTTTGTGAAAAGTGGTGAGTCAGTACCTAACATATTAATGAGCTTTATGTTTGAGAGGAGAGAAAGTTGTGTGGTCAAGCAAGATGTAGGAGTGACAGGAATGAGGAGGACTGGCTGCAGCACTTTGACAATGGAAGGTTAGGTTAGATTCATAGTGTTACACAGTGGAATGGGCATGATTATTGTAAAGAGTAACAAGTGAGGTGGAAGTTTAGTACAGTACAGACAAGTCGAAAATAGGTAACCTTGGTTTTTGTTTACGGATGGTTTCTTAGAGATATTATAAATGTTGTGGATACCTGAGATGTTATTACCTGTAGGAGGATCAAAGATATTATTGGAGGTCGTGTTCAGTTTTATTTATAACTTTTTAACATATACCATCATAGAATTAACAACTGTCCTTTTATTCTCACCAGCACATCTGTATCGACTTGGATGCGATGGGAAGTTTAAGAATTATGTTAATCAGTACTCGTCCAACCCGCTCGCTCTAAATAAACTTCAACACAATGAGGAGAGAGACAAGAAGCGCCATCTCTCTCACAAGTTTAGTCTCACCCCTGGCGCTGAGTTTAAATGGAATGGAGTTGTGTATGGTAAGTTTTGTGAGCCCTGTTTGTTGTCCCCCTCTTATAAGGGCTCCAGGGGTGTACAGTTGTCCGTCCCTTTACCTGTACTGTATATACCACATCAAATTCTTCAGCCACTTAAACCCTCTCAACCACTTAGACCCTCTTGCCCTCTCTGACACTTAGACCCTCTTGCCCTTTCTGACACTAAGACCCTCTTGCCCTTTCTGACACTTAGACCCTCTTGCCCCTTCTGGCACTTAGCTTCTCATTCAGAAATGTTGATAATGTGTTGGACGTGGGTCATTATCTTCCTGTTTGTTCTGTTGCTTGGCCTCACTCTTCTCCCCCCTTGACATTCAAAACCTGTGTTTATAGATTATTGTATTTTGTTTTATACTGAGAATGTAAATATACTGTACTGTATAGTATACATTTAAAAATGAATTTAGGGAATGTATATAACATCAGAAATACTGATATTATATCTTACCTAAATATGAACTATTGATGGGCTGTTTACATAACCTACAAAAATGCTTATAGTTTTTGTCACAGGTCAGCCATGGACCCAAGCTTGCACTATGCTTCAATAAAAAGTGCAAAGTTTCCTGAACCCGAGCAGAGGGCGTTAATCCCTCTGCTCGGGTTCTTCCCCATTGTGTCCATTGTGCCTCTCGGGGGTTCACAGAAGAGAAGCATCTCTCACTAACCTAAAGCTGTCTCCTTTATCTCTTCACAAAACCCTGACGTACTCCATCAATACTTGTGGTCCTGACTTCATTATGTTACATACATTATGACCAGTTAGCAGATTTTTTTTTTTTTAACGGGAGTTAGCCCATCCGGGCACAGGTCAAACGACCCACAACGGAGCCTGGGGGGGATAAGAACAGAAAGAAATTGAAAATAGAGAAGAAAACGGTTATGCTGTGTTAATCTACACCACGAAGATGCCGGAAAACCAGCTTTTTAAAGTGAGACAGATTGTATGAGTATGGAAACACAGAAGAAGGCAGAGCATTCCACAGTTTGGCTGTGTGAGGAAAGAAGGAGGTACTATAATGGGTTATTCTTGTGTGACCGACATCCACAGAAAAACGGTGGGCACCGCGGGCAAGGCAAGTGTTACGAGCCCACGGCCTTGCCGGCGGTACACAGAATGCCAAATCCACCGAACATTGCCCGTTAAAGTACCTGTAAAAGAGAGAGTGAAGTAACATTGTGGGGGAAGAGAAAGGGAAGAAAGATTATCAACTAAAGGAGGAGAGTTAATAAGACGAAATGCCTTTGATTCCACCCTATCTAACAGTTGGACAGAAGAAGAGCCACCCCAGATATGAGAGCAGTAATCCAAGTTAGGACAAATGAATCCCTTATATACTTGGAGCAACTACTCAGGAGTGAAATTGCCATGGCATCTGTACAGCATTCCCAACTTTCAGGAGGCAGCTTTAGCAATGTTGTGGATGTGTGGCTTCCATGACATTTTAGAGGAAATGGTGAGGCCTAGCATATTTATTTCAGAATTTGGCAGAATGATAGCGTCCTGAAATGTAATTGGTGGGAGATCATCTAATATAGAAAATGTAATTTGTAAATATTGAGTTTTATTACTATTGAATTTAACCAAGTTTGTACCTCCCCATTCAGAGAAGCTGCACAGATCCTCATTGATAGAAATAATGATATCAGCTCTAGAAACAGATCTAGTTTGAGATTTAGGAAGAAGGGAAAAATGTGAAGACAAGTGAAGAGTAGAATCACCAGCGTAAGAATGGATAGAATTAGTTGTAGTGTGAAGTAAATCATTAATAAAAAGAAGGAAGAGAGTTGGTGAAAGAACAGAACCCTGTGGGACACCACTACTGGTAGAGAAAGAGCGAGAGATCAATCCTTCGACAACAACTGCCATGGATCGGTTCTCAAGGAAGCTAGAGATGAGAAAACAAATTGGGGGAGAGAAACCAAAAGAGGGAAGTTTAGAAAGCAAAGACTTGTTCCATACCCTGTCAAATGCTTTGGAGATGTCGAGGGTCACGACAAAAGTTTCCCCATAATCCCTAAGAGAGGATGACCAAAGATGGGTGCAATAGGAGAGCAGATCACCAGTAGATCTCGCCTGGCGAAAGCCATACTGGTGATCCGACAAAAGAGAAAGGCGTTCAAGGTGACAGAGAAAATGGGAGTTCAAGATAGTTTAAAAAATCTTAGAGAGGGATGAAGTTAGGGCAATGGGGCGATAGTTAGAGGGATTAGAATGGTCACTCTTCTTCGGGATGGGCTGAACCAAGGCGGAAACGTTTGGGTTTTGAGGCAGAGGCGAGCAAGCACAGGGCCAGGGCTTCAGCACACTCCCTCAGAACACGAGGGGGTATTCCGTCCGGTCCATGCGCCTTACTCACATCCAACCTGGATAACACACCGGCAACCCTGTGAGTGGAGATTATAGGAAAGTGCATACGTTCAGTAGGAGGTGCAGGGGTAGGAGGAATAGAGTGGGAATTGTTTAAGGTGGAATTAGAAGAAAATAAGGTGCCAAAGAGGTTGGCTTTGTCAGGGGGAGAGTTGGCTATAGAGTTATTGGGTCAGAAGAGAGGAGGAAAAGGAGGAGTGCAGAAGTTGTTACAGATGTTTTTTTTTTTTGTTAAGGACCAGAAGGATTTACTGGAGGAAGAATTTGTCAGGGCAGCGGTCTTTCTTTTTATAAAATTCCGCTTGGCCCTACGAAGAATAGCATTACAATGATTCCTAGAAGTAATGAAAGAGGTGTGGGTAATAGGAGAAGGAGATAGTTTCATAGCTTGATATGCCCTATCTCTCACCCTGCAAGCAAGAGAACAGGAGCGATCAAACCATGATTGTAATGTGAAAGTTTTGGTAGAAGATGGGATAAATGCACTCATACCACCCTGTATAACCCCAGCACATACTGAGGCGTCCCAAGTGGAAAAGCAACATTCACCCTAAGGAAAGTCGGTGAAGAATTCTCGCAAGGATTGCCAGCTTGCCCTCAGATAGTGCCATAGTTGACGTTTAGAGGGGGGTGGGAGAGGTGGTCGTGCCCAGTTTGATTTAATATAAATAAGGTTGGGATGAGAAGACCCTAAGGGGGCAGAAATTGAGTATGAATAGTGTGAGGGGTTAGAGGTAAAACAAAAATCAAGAAAGTTAGCAAGTTGATCTTGTCGATCAGGAACGCGTGTAGGGTGTTTGATTATTTGTTCCAAATCATTAAGTAGGGAAAAAGAGAGTGCCTCAGCTCCAACTGGGTCGTCCCTTGCAGAGCCAAGCCACTCTCTGTGATGTACATTGAAATCCCCTAGGTAGAGGATCTCGGTGTTGGGGAGTGTGGATAGCAACGACTCATGGCAAGAAGTGAGATAGTCAAAGAGTTCGAAATAGATGGTAGAGTTGGGAGAACAGTATAGGAAACAAAGAAAAGTAGTCACAGTAGGTAGAGATATTTTGAGCCAGATGACATCATAAAGGGGACATTCAAGATCCGTGAGTCGAGTTATAGGTGTACGTGTGTTGCAGTAGGCACATACACCTCCCTTAGAATGGAAGAAGGTATAAAAGTTGTAGTTGGAGACTTGAAAAGGTTTGGGTGAAGCTGCTTTGGTCAGTTTATATTCAGAAAGTAGTAAGAGGTCGGGGGAAGAGGTTAATAGATGGTGCTCCACAGAAGGAAAATTGGATCTCAGCCCTCGAATGTTGGAAAAATGAAGTGTGAAAAAAGTCGATCCTCCAGCAGCCGCAGTGTATTGTGCCATCATTCAAGATAGAAAGTATTTTATGTGACAGAATTATGGGATGGAAGGAAACATCAGACATAACTATAGATTATTACTAAAATGACTTGTCTGGTAGCCTTTCTGCATTTATACAAAGGAAATGCTATTGGTGAAATATTGAGTAGTGTTAAGCCTAAGTACAGCGCTCTTCTCTGTATATATAACTGTTATAAGCCAAGAGACATAAAAGGACATTCATAAACTAATAAATTCAGTGTAAAACTTCCCAGGATTGTTAAGAAGAAACAAAGGTTATGCAAAATACTCTGTACATTTAGGTGATTTCATCATGAAATCTTTATTATTTGTATTCCTTAATAGTGTACTTTTGTGTCACTTTTGTGAAATGCCTTAAGCATAAGTAGATACATTTTTTGTAAATTAACTTTTTCCACAGGCAATAAGGAATCGCTCATATCAACATTACGTCACACAATCTTGGCCTTGGAGCAGAATGTGTCGGTTCACCTGTTCCACCCACACTGGGCCAATGTACGCAAAGCTTGGAATGTTGCCGTCATGTCGTCGACCGAACCTCGTCACTTTTCACGTGTTTTAATGTGGCTCGTGGCATGTATTAAACCAGTGGTACTGAATCCAGTTTGGCACGATTCTTTGGGACATGTCAGGTATGTTTAAATCTCATTTATTTACTCTATTACTTTGCATATATTACAGCACTCCCTCGCTTTACCTAATAACTGCAGCATTTAGGAACCCGAGGGTACCCCATGTACTGCACCGCAAAAACATGATCTATGTGAAACAAATTTTTTTTAATGAAATTGAAGGTATAAAATTTAAAAGCCATAAAAATAAAACTTGTACTCATAATGGGTGGTGAGTCTGTGAAGTGAGGCGGAGTGAAACAGGCAACTGCTGTGCCCTGGTTGTTGTGATGTGCAGTATTGTTCAGTGGTGTGGGTGAGGGATGAATGGTGGAAAAGGGAAAATTGCCATGTGCTTTCTGTAAGAAAGGTGAGGTATTGTCAGCATCTCAATAAGTGCAATGAGTGAGGAAGGTGGGTACATAAGAGGTGTAGTGTAGATGGTAAACTGCAGTGTTGTGTATGTGGAGGTAACCATGTGCCCACAGCAAGGGTGGAGTAACTTAACATGGGGATATTTGTGTTGATGAGTTCTGTTACTTGGGTTGCTGATCAGTGCTTAGAGTCAGTAGTGACTGGAGAAGGTTTAGGGAGTTTCTGCCTTTATTGATGGCAAGAGGAACTTCCCTCCCTGTGAAAGGAAAGATATATGCAACTGGAATAGGAAGTGTGATGTTGTATGGCAGTGAAACATTGGCATTTAAAGAAGGTGACATAAACAGATTTTAGTGAGTTGAAATGAGAATGGTGAGATGGATATGTAATGTGATACTGAAAGACAGGAAACCCTGTTCAGAGCTGAGAGGGTGGCTGGGTCTTGAGAGTAGTAGTGAAGTCCTGCATGAGATGGTTTGGGTAGATTATGTGGAGAAAATGCAAGAGATTTCTTGGGTCAAGAGTTGCAAAAGGGGAGAGGTTGTAAGAAATTACATTAAAGTTAGGAATCTGACGAGAGACTGCAAGAAACTGTTCAGCTCGGAGAGCTGCCATCAGGTAATTGCGGTCGACTCAAACAAGCGTAGAAAATGGTCATAAATCATTGATGATGATGTCCAAAATTATGGCCTTATGTTTGGGGCTTAGCTTGTGTATTCCTCAGCTTCACTTGTAACCTTGATATAGGCAAATTTTCTGTAAAAAATGTCACTTATCATAATGAGTCACTTCTCTAACCTGTCTGAGAAGATTTTTGATGATTTTATAAAGTAATTTGTTTTTATCTACCGGCTTTTTTTTTTCTCCACTTTTTAAAATTTCCTTGTATTTTCAATAGTACAATATTTACTTGTTGTACTGTAACTTTGTGTTGTGTTCCAGGTTTAACAGAGTGACAGCCATGGAAAGAGAAGAGAAAAAAAAACAGGAAAAAAAGGAAAAGAAGGAGGCAGATCAGGAGGAACTACGACCTATGACCTTCATCAAATATACTCTCGGCCTCAAGCATCAAGTATGACCTGCTGTCCACTTTGCCTTCACTTATAAATACAGTTCTGGGAGAATTAAGTTAGAACAATAAATACTGAGCAAACTTTTGTTGTATTTGGTCATAATATATCTTTCAGCCACTTCATTTTCTTACCCAACAAAAACAGTCTTGTGGCTTCTGTGTATTATTACACTCGACTCCCTCAAGTCCAGAACACCGAGGGTCCAGATGGGTATCATTGGGCTGGATGTTTGCTAATTTCTTGGAGATGAACCTCGGAAGTGAGGCATTTTACTGTATTACTTATCTCCAAGTTCATCCACAAGAAGTTCACTTAATTACACTTACTTTATTATCATTATAACTTTGACATTTATTAAGCTGCAGTATTTTACTTTTCTTCAGGTTTGGAAATTGAAAGGTGAGGAGTATCGTGTTCATGGCATGTGGGGGTGGCAGTGGTTGTCTGCTCATCGCCGAGCCCCTCACAAACCCATGTCCAGCGTAGGTCTTCGTGCAGGAGGAGAAAAGTATATGGTGCCTCTGGTAGGGGCTTCTGGTCTCAAAAGTCTCTCTGTCAACCCAGCTGTCTACAAGCAGTTGGCCTCCAAGACCCCTTCCTTGAGACCGTCATTATTATCCCCTAAACAACGTGCACTGGAAATGGAGAGAGGAGAAGGTGCAACTGAAGAAAAAAAGAATGAAATAATTATAGCAAGTTCAAGTAAGAATCAAGTGTTATAATTTTTTATATACAGTACTGGTCATAATGCTGTACAGTATTGTCTTTCCTAATTTATTCAGTACAGTATTATTGATAGTTATTTCCTGGAAATAACTTATATTGAATCCCTATATTTTACCTGCATGGTGAATGAGGACAGTTTAAAACTTTTAAGTGGTTCTCAGGACGTTTGTGACCCAGTATGGCCATAGTAACAACTTATACCATAACACTTTAGTAGTTGTTTGGCATTTCAATTGGATCTGATAATGAGTCGTCACCTTTCCACCTAAGAATGACTTGGAGGCATCAGTGGAGCTTCATGTGCCAAGTCCTCACACCTTGATTCATCCCCTCCCCTCCCCTGTTCTTTCCTTGATTTATTTATTGCTTCATCTCTCTCTTCCATGATGTACTGTACTGAAGGTGATCTCCCTCCTATGAATGTGTACAGTACAGTACTAGAAATTAATTAAAAACGTACTGTACAATATTCCCTGGTCCAACATGGTCTGGGAAAAACCTCACATCAAGACAGATCTTGTATTGTGTTGAGCAGAGTTAAAACCTTACAGAAGTGATGGAGAAAGAGAAGGGTTCATCACCATATCAGATACTTTTAACCATTTTTTATTCATATAAACCTGAAACTAATATGGACTTAATAAACATTATAATAAAGAGCAATATGATATAAAACTGAGTAAAAATGATCTATCTAATATCTGGTTAACATACCTATGATGATGATCCTACTTTTACACTATTTTCCCCAAATTTAGGCCAGTTACTGTGCTTAGTTTACCCTGCTTATTTTACCTTACTTAGTCAGGTTATTGTGAGGTGAGAGTGGTTGGTGGTGGGCAGCTTGGTGAGGGGGGATGGTGGTGGGCAGCTTGGTGAGAGGTGATGGTGGTGGGCAGCTTGGTGAGAGGGGATGGTGGTGGGCAGCTTGGTGAGGGGATGGTGGTGGGCAGCTTGGTGAGAGGGGATGGTGGTGGGCAGCTTGGTGAGAGGGGATGGTGGTGGGCAGCTTGGTGAGAGGTGGTAGTGTTCGTGGGTTTGCTTTGCTCTTGGATGGAACAGATCACAAATAATTTTGTGCATTTAGGCTGACTAGTGTTGGACAAAGGATTACCGGTACTGCACCAAGAATGTTGATGGGTTAGGAATTGCCACTTTACCCGAGTGTTTCATAGTTATCTAGTTGAGACGTTCTCCAATTAGTTGCTCCATAAGCACACTTCCCTTAACATTTAAACTGGAAATACTAATTGAGATTATGATAACTTGATTGCCAACCTTTTGCCCAAAACCGAGATGGTGTGAATTATAATTTGTTTGTTCATGTGTGTTTTTTTTTGGTCTTCCTGATATGTATGGGACTGAATTTATATCTTGCAGATATTTTAATAATTATGTTAATTTACAGGTGGTCAGCAGAAGGTGGAGGTTGGAACAGTGAATCTGGAAGACTTCTTTGAAGATGGATTAATAAATGTGTGTCGAGCTCTTACGTCTCGCTCCCGCTTTGTCTACCCAAAGGTTGCAAAGACATCAGTTTTGGACGGTTTATTAAGTCGACGCATTGCTCTCAGAACTCAAGAAGAGAAAGATCTGGCCAACAAGGTTGATTTACCACATATGTTTATTGTCTTTATGGTTCTCGGGGGTAGTCTACCAAACACCATTTTCATAACACTTAACTTGAGCATTTTGGCATTTATTCAATGATTAATATTTAATGTTGAATTATGAATTAAAGAAATAGAAACGTAATTTTCTGTATGGAGTATGCAGTAGGTCTGTTGTGAATACTTTTGGTTCTTTTATGTCACAGTGCACGACTCAAGCTCAGCAGTGGTTCTCTCACTTTATAGCTGCCTCATCACACTTATTACCCATGTCTTTACTTTATACACATGACTACAGCCAATAGCTCAGCAGTGGTTCTCTCACTTTATAGCTGCCTCATCACACTTATTACCCATGTCTCTACTTTATACATATGACTACAGCCAATTTATATGCTTGGTAAAATGTTTGCTTAATGATAGTTAAATCTTTGAAATCTGTTCCTAATAATATAAAGAAATATGCATCTATATAAATTAAATTTAAACATTTTATTGAAAAACTTTTACCGTATTTGTTTTGCTTGAGGGAAGAGATTCGGTGAGGGATGGGGGTCTCCTGAGAACCATTTACTTTGTGTATAAATTTGTATTGAAGGTTTACTTAGGGTAAACTGTGACCATAAACAGTATTGTTTCCCCGAGAGTAAACCTGGGAGTATGTACAGTAAGACCTCCTCCAGCACAGTCCTCGATCACAGCGTTGGAGAAACTTATTATTATCTTATGATCTCATTAGGGAGTGCGGCCGCGTAACCTCTCCAGTTATTACGTAGACGCGTATACAGACACACTCCTCTCCGAGTGCTACTGGGTGGCAACTCTGTTACATGCCACCTCCACGGATATTAGTCCTCGTTATCCCTCGTTTAGTGATAATTTCGCTTTATGTTAGGTTTTTCCTGAGCGCATCCCATCGTTACACGAGGGATACCTGTGACAAAGGCAACCTGTGTATCTATCTCACGGGCCACAGCTGACTGGCAATGTGTGTTATGTTGTGAGTTGTGCACTTCTTTCTGATTGGCTGAAAAAAAATATGGAAATGCATTTTTTTTTTAATTTCATTAAGTTTTCTTTAGTTTCTTATAATTTTTCTTAAATTTAAGCCCCCCAAAAAGAGATGGAAATGAACTCTATAATAAAGAGACTGGTCTCATGCTGCTTTTGTAACTTATCAACAACTTTAATTTTCTCCTCCAATGTGTTCACTTGATGTTGGTATTTACTCCTCTATATTGTTAAAGTATTAGTCAGCTTCACCAAAAAAACAAACAACAGTAAAACAACATAAGGTAGGTCGACTTGGACAACACTCATTATCGTGACTACTGCTTGCCTGAGAGGGAGAGTGTGGGGGCACAGGTGTGAGAGGGCGGCGGTTCTAGAAAGTACGAGAACTTGCACTGTACCGAATATACTCGAATTTCTTGTGTTTGGCAAATAATTGATTGTTAGGTTTGGTTGGAGGAGGACTTACTATATTATAATCTGGGCTCTGTAACTTGCGGACATATTTTGAATTTTTTATATCACCCAAAAGTTCCTCACCCATATTAGCTGGGATGTACAGCTTGTGTGGAAGTAGCTTCTTCTCATGCATTAGGAATTTGATCTCTTATTAACCATTGTTAGCTAGATGGCAGAATATGCAGTGTGTGTGTGTGTGTACACTAGTTTTAATCAAGATCTGTTCCTTTTAACAAATTTCAACAGAAAATTCTCACTTACAGAAGTCACATGGTTGTGAGTGGAGAAGAGATGACGATGAAGATGAAATTGATGTAGAAAATGATGATTCAGATGCTACCTTAAGTGATAATTCCGACCATGAAAATATTGATGAAATTCCCGATTCTCAAAGGTCTACAATACATAAACAAAGACCTGCTGGAAATTTACTAAAGGAAGTTCGTACGTTGAAGACAAAGTATGAAACACTGGACGAGCTGGACGGCAGTTATATGTGTTATTCAGTGATGTGTAGAAGTAGTGGGCGATGCCATTGTTACTCTCCATTGTGCCTGCTAAAAACTAGGACAAAAGAAAAGTTAATTAATAGTGTAAAAAATTATAGAATAGTTACCAGTAAGCGTGCTCCTTTTGACGAGGTTGGGGCCCACAGCCCGGTAAGATTGACAGATGGGGATGTGGATATTGTTGGTAAGACAGAAGCAGTGAGTGACTCAGTGACCACACATACCTGTACAGTGTCAAGTGTAAATGGACAACTTGCTAATAGCAGCTCAACAGTTTCAGTAGAAACAAGCCAAATCAAATCAGAAAGTGCAGACTCCAGTGATGGTAGATCATCCAGAGCCAGTAGTGAAATAAAGATAAGAATGGATGAGGATATAGATGAAACAAGCCAAGGTTCTGTTACTATGGAGAACAAATTTTCACTAAAAAATGACAGGACATACAGTAGTGAGTCTCCCTCCGGCAAAGTGTACCTGAAAAAACTAGCTAGTGAGACAAAGCGTGGACGTAGGCTTCAGCATCGCGTGCCACAGCTCTCTACTTTTAGAATTGGGAAAAAGAGCGGCACAGTTGATAAAAGAGTGACCAGTGTACTTGTTTTATCAAGCTGCGAGCTACGGATGCTGGCCAGAAAAGGTGGACGATATTACGTGTGTGGTTTTAACCATAATGCCAAAGCTAACAATGTTGTTTGGCCTTACCCCTGTTCTCGACCTGTGTTCAAAACCACTTGGCAGTATCGCACGGCTAACATGCCAACGCTGAACTCTGCGTCAATGCAGTTACGCATTTTATGGGTGTGCCTTCGATGGGACGACATGCAGGAGAAAGGGCCCGGAGATGGTCGGAAACAAATAACCACTGAGATGGAGATCATCCAGACTGAAATCTTGAAGCGAAAACATTCAGGACGCTTCTTAGAGAAGACTTCGTACCTTCGTCGAAAAGTGATAATTCCTTTTGATGTTCCTAAACCTGTGAGAGGTAAGTCATGAGTGACTTGTGTTAAGTTTAATTGATGCAACACTAGTTTTAATGAAGCATGTAGCTACGGTACATAAATGATTCAAGTAATTGTTCACTTATAGGCTTATATCACTACTGTATATATATTTTATATGCTGTCTGAAGTGTGTGTGTAAATTCATAGACAGATTTATATATACTGTATTTACCTTACTTGTAGACCATCAGTACTGAACTTCTTTTGAAAGGCTGCACTTGTTTTTATTAAAGTTGGAATGAATGTTTCTTATGATGCATTTCTGTGTGCGGTTATTGTTTGTTCCTGAGCATTAGTTTAGTCCATGTCAAGCAGATGTGTAAGTCTAGTCTTAACTAGCTATAGCTCAGAGGTTTGGCAAACAAAACTATTGAAATAGGGTACAGTAGCTAGTTGTAGTGTACTGTACTGTAGTCTTTTTCTTTGTTTCATCTTTACTGTAGTACTGTATTATAATCACTTGTGCTTGTATATGTAGTTTAGTTCAGTTCCTTGATATATTACAAGAAAGCTCATTTCTTCAAAGGTGTATTTAATGCACAAAGTCAACATATGCAGGGGCTATAATGAACAAATTAATTCAAACTTAATGATATTCTGTGTATTTTAAAACATTATGCATTTTAAACTAGGACAATCATAGTTTAATATGCAAATATTAAAAAAAAATACTTTTAATCTCATTAAATATTAATTATTATTTTTTTTTCAGAATTGCCCCGTAAATTTTTTTATAGCCTCTATGTATGTTGTTTATTTTGTTTTGCCAGTACTGTACATGGCTGATAGTGTCACTCCTAATTGAAACTCTCTTTGAGTGGCTACCTTAAGATGGGGTCACTTCGGACAGTGTTTGAGGTTTTTTTAAGCTGTAGTTTAAGTTTGAAGGCTTAAAGCACATGTTAAGTACACTATTGGTGTGTGAACTAATGGACTGACCGTACGTGTCAACGAAATTAAACAAACATCACAGCTACTTTTTCTGTTGAGAGAATATTTATAGGTGTCCCAAGTCACTCCAGAGATGGGATGACTTCAAACAAGTGTTAATTCAATGGCTGTACATGTTAGAGTCTGGCTGAACAGTCTGGGGTGTTGCTTCACACACCAATTAACTAAAAAAGGGGAGGGGGGGGGTGAAATCTGCATATGTATGCAGAGTTGTAAAAGTATCAGACATTGTTACTTAAGTAAAAGTATTGTTACATTGACAAAATGATTCTCAAGTAGAAGTAAAAGTATCCAAAGTTCAATGTACTCAAGTAGGAGTAAAAAAGTATCTCATTCATAAAGTACTCAAGTACTGAAAGTAAAAAGTAACAACAACTTATTATTTGTTTCAAATATTAAAATAACTTTACAGTAAATTATAAAAAATAGTTAACTAAAGATAAACACAAAAGACACACAACATTACACATGTTTATTTGAAAATCTTTCAATTAAGATTAATTAATAACTGATTCTCCAACTGATGGCTGTCCCATCAGGATGTTTTGGGCCTAAATATAAGCCCAGCATGACCTACTGAAAGAGAATAAGTTCAGCCGCTCTTCTCCCATCACAGGGACGGTGAACGGGCTGTAAATATATCCACCCAACACTATGATCACTTTCTTCCTTATCCACACAAGTATCGTCAACGTGGACTTATGGACATGTTGTCTCTGCTGGCATTAGGTTAGGATATAGACCTATCTGAGGTGGGGGGATGACCTGCACTTGTAACTGTCCCAACACTAACACCCTTCAACACTGTTGTCAGGGACCTCCTGCCATAGTCACTAACCACTATAAGTCACCACCTACTTATTCATAATAGTTTAGTTTAATTCTTGTTCACTACCCACACTTTGGTGGGTGTTACCTCCCATTGTCCTTAAATCATATCAATATTGTCTCCATATCACAAGTCGTAGTGAGACACGAGTACCAATGTATTAGCGTCCGGTCTTGTGACCGGGCTTGTCGCTTCCTGGGGCGTAATAAATGAATTAAATAACAAGCAATAAGCACAGCGGGACTAAATAGACGCTTACAAGCAGCAGATGCTGGTAGTGGGGTGTTAAGATAAGTCACACAATGTTGGGAAGGACCTCAGTAGCTGCATTTCATCCCCTGGGCATGCCAAGTAGCTCTCAAGCTCCTTCAGTTGTGGATGATTGTTGCCTCCATAGTGACTGAGTCTGACTAAGACTCACCGTGAACTGTTCCTCTAATTGGGGGTGTGGCTGTGGTGACGTCACTCTTAATTGATGAGTGGCCGAGTTTTACGCACCATGTAATATCTGGCAGGTGGTGGGGGGGAGGCAGTGGTACTTAGTTAATTGAGATAATTATTTTAAAAACTCTCACTCTTACACATATGTATAGATACAGGCATTATATCTAAGACAGAATTATGTCAAGCATTTAAGAATCACAGCCTCTTTGAAATTCATTTTAGGTACAGGTATATGTAAAGAGCAACTGACTTCTGACAGAACGGTGGGGGAGAAGAGAGGGGATTTGATGGGGGAGGGAGGGGCAGTTGTCTGATGGCCACTGACCCTGGATCTGACGCGGGGAGGCCTGGGGTTTCCACCCACATCGGGCAGGGTGTCGCACCCCCACCCACATCGCATCTCCACCAACCGCACCCCCACCCCACACCGCACCCCACCCACACCGCACCCCACCCACACCGCACCTCCACCCACACCGCACACCCACCCCACCCACACCCCACCCCACCCACACCCACCCCCACCCGCCACCCCTGCTCCCCACCCACACCGCACCCACCCCACCATACCCCACCCACACCGCACCCCACTAGGTTCCCCCACACTGCAGACCCCACCCACACACCCACCCACACCGCACCCTCACCCACACCCACTCCCCACCCCACCTGCACTCCCCCACCCACACCGCACCAGACCCCACAACCACACTGCACGCACTCCCACCCACACCGCACCCTCCACCCACACACGCAGACCCCACCCACCCCACCCACCCACTCTGCACCACCCACCCCACACCCGCACCCCACCCACACCGCACCCACACACCGCACCCACCCCACCCCACACCTGCACCCCCCACCCACACCTGCACCCCCACCCACACCTGCACTCCACCGCACCCCACACCCTGCACCCCACCCACACCCACACCACCCACACTGCACCCCACCCACACCGCACCCCCACCCACCACACCCACCCACCACACCCCCCACCCACCCACACTGCACCCACCCCACCCAGCACCGCACCCACCCACACCACCCCACCCACACCTGCACCCCCACCCACACCCGCACCCACCACCCCCCCACCCACACCGCACACCGCACCCCACCCACACCGCACACCCACACTGCACCCCACCCACACCGCACCACCCACACACACACACTCCCCACCCACACCCACACCCACCCACCCACACCGCACTCCCCACCCACCGCACCACACCCACACCCCCACCCACACCCACCCACCCACACAGACCGCACCCAACCACACCTCCACCCACACCGCACTCACCCACACACCCCACCCACACCCCCCCCACCCACACACCCCACCCACCACACCGCACCCACTGCACCCACACCGCACCCACCCCACACCGCACTTCCCACCACACCTCAACCCCACCCACACCACCCACACTGCACCCCCAACAACTGCACTTCCCACCCACACACCGCACTTCCACCCACACGCACCACCCACACCGCACAACACTGCACCCCCACCCACACCGCACCCCCCACCCCACCCCACCCACCACCGCACCCCCACCCACACCGCACTGACACACCCACCCACACTGCACCCCCACCCACACCGCACCCCACCCACACTGCACCCCACCCACACCCACACCGCACCCCACCTGCACCCACCCACACCGCACTCCACCACACCGCACTTCCACCCACACCGCACTCCACCCACACCGCACCACACCCACCCCACCCACACCCACCCCACACCACACTGCACCCCACCCACCCACACCGCATTCACCCACACCGCACTCCACCCACACCCACCCCACCCACCCCACACCCACCGAGACTCCCCACCACACTCCACCCACCGCATTCCCCACCCACACCGCCCTCCACCCACACCCGTACCCACACAACTGCACCCACCCACACCCACCCCATCCCACCCACACCGCATGCACCCTCCACCCACACCACACACCCTCCACCCACACCCACCGCACACCCCACCCACACCGCACACTCCACCCACCCACACCGCTCCACCCACACCTACCCCACCCACACACCGCACACCCACCCCACCCACCCACCCACACACCCACACCGCACCCCCACCCACACCGCACTCCACCCACCCACACCCACCTCACACCCACCCACCGCACCCCCACACCCCACCCACACCACCCACACCCACCCACCCACACACCTCCACCCAACCGCACCCCCCACCCACACACACCTGCACCCACCCACCCACCACCCGACCCACCCACCACACCGCACCCTCCACCCACACACCTCACCCACACTGCACCACCACACCCACCCACCCACACCGCACTCCACCACACCCACACCCAGCACCCACACCCACCCGCACTCACCCTGCACTCCACTCCCACCCACCAACGCACCTCCACCCACAACTCCCACCCACACCTGCCCACCCACCCACACTCTCCACCCACCCACCCACCAACACTGCACTGCACCCACACCCACCCACAATCACACCCACTGCATCTCTCCACCACAACTCTTACTGTGGCTAATAATTAATTAATTAATTTAAAAATATACCATTAGTTTGCCACACACATTAAAACTCTTTGTTTGGGTCAGGTAAAGAGTAACGATTTTTGTTTTTTTCAATTGTATTGGAATAAACGTATTAGATAAACATACTTGAGTAAAAGTATTTAAATTTTTTAGTACTTTTTAAAAAGTAGATACCCAAAAATGTTA